TGAGGTGCAACACATACAGAAGGCTGGTGCCTTTAATTTTCATCAGCAAGTATTTAAGTCTTCTTCACTTTCACCAAGCAAGGTTACATCATTTGTGCATCACAGGTTGTTACTTAATCTTCTTTCAATCTTGATTCAATGTTTTTCCTCATATAATCCATCTTCTTGATTTATTTGCTCAGCATATACATTGTATAAGTATGAAAAGATGTAACCCTATTGCACACCTTCCCTATTTTTAAACCATTCAGTGTTCCTTTGTTCTGTTCAAACAAATGTCTCTTGGTCTACGTATAGGTTTCTTATGAGCATAATTAAGTATTCTTGAATAGTCACACTCATATTATCAGGAGGGACCAATCCCTGAAGAAGAACATCATGCTGGGAAAAGTGAAGGTCAGCAGGAACAATTGTCTCAAAATCTACATTAATTATGAATATGGCACAAGAGTGAGCAATGTTTCATTCTACTGTGCATAAAGTTACTATGAGATGGAACCAACTCAATGGCACCTAACACTAACAGCCACACATGAAGAATTAGTGATTGTTAGAGATCAAATCTATGACCGAATACCCAAAAGTTAAAAGCTGATCCTAGGAACTATATTCAGAGCAGACATAGGCACTTATTATTATTTTAATGCAAGATGAAAATATGATCCAAGTAGAGTTTTTCTGATCCTGTATCACATGTAAATAGCACATCGGTGATTTATAAGTTTTCAAATAATACATGTAAGGAAACTGAAGTGTCCAGCATTTGTATGTCACAACAATGGGTTATTCTCTCGGGATATTATTGTTTTTAGTTTCCATCTAGTTGGCTCTGACTTGGTAAAGCATGCACCACAGGATCACACCTCTGTGATCCATCAGGCTTTGATTGACTGATATTATTTAAGTAGATTGCCAGGCATGTCTTCCTATTCTGTGTTTATCTGGAGCTCCACTGAAACATATTAACCATGAAAGCAACATGCAATTCTTCATTCTCAGATTAATGGTTGCTTATACTGATCTGCATTATCTGAGAATAGTATTTGAGATTCTGAAATATTTCTACCCCTTAATGATAGCAGTCTTTGAGGGAAACTAGACCAAAAGGCAATGGCAGGGTAAAGTGGGAATTAAGTGCCATGGCTACAGATTCAAAGATACCCAGCTTCACAATATACTGCGAGTATTCACAGCACTATGATCCAAGGAAAATTTACTAAACAATGGAGCAAATATCACAACCATAATTTTGTAGGAAACTTTAAGTTGCATATACAGGAGGCACATTTACATTTAATAAACATTAGCTGACATTGTCATTCTAATTTTTGTTATCTGCTATAGATTTGTATGTGAGAGGAAACACAAACATAAACATTAATAAGTATCAATTAAACTATGTTATTTTAAAAATTAATGGTGTCCTGATGTGGCACTGTGGGTTAATGTGCCAGACTGCAATGTTGTTTGAATTGCAAGGTCGGCTGCTCAAGCTCACCAGTCGCTTCTTGGAAACCCTATACAGGGTCGCTACGGGTCCAAATCAACTTAATGGCACTTAACAACAGCAACATTTTTAAAAATAAAGAAGTGGAAGTTTGAGGAACGAGGGGTTAGCTGTGGATGCGAGAAGTTGGGAAGTAAATTTTGAATGACTTCCTTAAAAAATGTGGAGTAGCAATTTTCATGATTTGTAAATGATATTAGCTAAGGTTTAGATGTGTGGGGATATGGAGTGTTACAGGGACAAGTTAGAGGTCTAGTGTAGCCACAGCACCAGGCATGTGATTGAATTGTAGAAAGCTAAAAGTGAATATAATATAATTTTAGAATTATTTTATTTTTAATTCACTTTAGAACTTTTTATGAATCTAACAGGGAATCATTGTCTGCAATAGGTAGAATGACAATATTACAACTATATTTAAGAAAATAACTTGAATGGAAATATACATTATGTTGTCAAGTCTACTTCAAATCACTGTGACCCCATGTGTGTCAGAGTAGAACTGTGTTCCATAGAATTTTCATTATCTGACCATTTAGAAGTATGTCTCCAAGCATTTCTTCTGAGTCATCTCTCGGTAGACTCAAACTACCAATCTTTGGGGTATTAGTGAAGCAAGCTAACAGTTTCACCACCAAAAAACTCCAAATCAAACAAGATCCCTCTAAACAGTTTTCAAAAAGGAGATAATGAAAGTCTGAACTCCAGATATCAATTAAAATCAACACATACATGTTTAAAAGGAGCAAAACAAATCAACAAAATCATAAATAATAT